GAATCCACAACCAGAGGTAAATGAAAGCATATGTAAGGAGACCCTGCATGAGAAACCCTACCCCATCCCTTATGTGCTCCTCCTTCTCCTGTGTCCCCACCTCAATAAATAGCACCCATCTACAAAACTGCACCAGGTAAAAACCAGATGTCATCCTGATTCCTTCCTTACCCTCCACACCAATCATCTTTGCTAGGGTGCAGTGGTTCCATCTTGGCTCACTGTAACCTCTGCTCCTGGGTTCAAGGGATTCTCTTGGCTGAGCCTCCTGAGTAGCTAGGATTATAGGTGCCTGCCACCACGGCCAGCTAATTTTTTTTCTTTTCGTATTTTTAATAGAGATGGGGTTTCACCATGTTGGCCAGGCTAGTCTCAAACTCCTAGCCTCAGATGATCCACCCATCTCGGCCTCCCAAAGTGCAGGGATTACAGACATGAGCCACCATGCCTGGCAATTCCACCTTTTCTCTACACACGCTGTCCCACTACCTTCATTTGAAACACCATCACCTCTTGCCAGCCTCCTAACTGGTCTCTCTGTCCATAGAGCTCTAGCTCTCCAGTCCACTCCTGAACAGGCAGCCAGGGACATCCTTCAAAATGCACTTCGAATCATGGCCCCCTCACCTCAGGATGAAGTACAAACTCCTTAACACAGGCAAGAAGGCCCTTTCCCAACTTGGCCTCTGCTCTGCCTACCATGAAAGTCTCCTGTCCAGCCACATCGACCCAACTCAAGCATTATGCTCCACCCAAGAAACCTGAGAAATTTATTTAGCCCTCTTGACCTGTTTTCTTCAACTATAGAATGGAATAATAGTACATACCTTCAGGATGGTTATGGAAAGAAATAATACATTTAAATTCTTAGAATAGTATCTGATGTATATAGTAAATGACCAAAGGTCTTAACCATATCATCACCATCTCTGAACTTGCTGTTCCTTCTACCTAGAACAGTCTTATCTCTGCCTCCTCCCTGACTCTCTCAGATCTCTTCTTTTCCTGGCTTATGTCAGTTTTTCTCTTGAGGGCTAGGCTTAACCAATTTCTCCTCCTAAGAAGCCTTCCCTGACCTTCCAATGCTAGGTTAGGCAACATTTCTCTGTGCTCTCCTGGTGTCTGTCCCTGTCACAACACAACACTTCTCACACTGCCTGTTTCCTTGCCTTTCTTTCCCACTAAGCTATATGAACCCAAATCCCTAAGCTTAGTACCATGTATGACAGATGCTTATTAATTGTTCAGTGATTGAAAAACTTTTGAAAAATGAGGTACCCAATGAAAGACAACCTCAACAAGTAACCTCCTCAAATGTTAGCCAGGTAGCTGGTCTAAATGACTTTAAGGTCTCTCAACTACAAGATTCTATCCAACAAATTCAGCACATTGACCTAACTGGTCACATTTGTTTGAACAAGTAGGCAATGCTGGGGCCATCAAATTTTTAAGGAGAGTGTGACATGACCAGACACATGATCATGTGTTTGTTACCTTATTAACCATCTCTGAGACACTGCCTCCTCCAATCCACAGCTGTTATCAGGACAAAATTCCAACCATCTTCATTAACAGCCCACTCCCCTAAATACACCAACAGAAAACGGTCAGAGGCCATTTTGAAAGGCTATATGCAGCATCTAACTCCATCTTAACCACCTGCAAGCAAGAAGGAACCATCAACATCCTATAAGAACTCAAAAGCTAATCCCTCTTGTGTGCCTTTATGGAACGAGGGGGAAGAGGGAGCATTTCATAAAGATGATCTACTTAATCATCCTGAGTAGTTTTGATCCAAGCTGCTGTCACTGCACTGTTATTCCTGACAACTGTAGCCCTATATCCCCAAACCCTGGATGGTCAGAAGGGGAGGTGCAAACAAGGTGAGGGTGAGGAGTTATCTAGATTCCATTTTAAGGGTATAATGACCCAGTGTGGTGGCTCACGCCAGTAATCCCAGCACTTTGGGAGGCCAAGTGGGGGGGATCACCTGAGGTCAGGAGTTCAAAACCAGCCTGGCCAACCTGGTGAAACCCCATCTCTACCAAAAATACAAAAATTAGCCAAAACAGGCTTAAGTGATAAAGAACATCAATCTAAGGGGGAGAGGAGTGGGTCTTACTCAGAGATACAACCAGGCCTGGGTTCCTGTTCTGGAACAGCATGCAGGTGAGGACTACTATTTTGCATTTACAACACACTCTGAAACTAAGGAAGACACTAAGTGTGCCAGCTTTGCAGTCACAAAAAGACAAATATTGCACAATTCCACTTACATGAGGTTCCTAGAATAGTCAAATTCACAGAAAGTAGAATGATAGTTTTCAGGGGCTGGAGGGAGGAAGGAATGGGGAGTTAGTATTTAAAAAATAGAGTTTCAATTGGGGAAGATAATGGGCAGTGGTGATGGTTGCATAACCATGTGAATGTACTTAATGTAACATAAATATACACTTTGAAATGGTTAAAATTGTAAATTTTATGTTATATATATTTTATCACAATTTTCTTTTTAAAAAAGCATGCCAGCTTTAAGGTTATACTGTCTGCAGTCTGAATCCTGGCTTGGTCACGTACCAGTTAAATGACCCTGAGGCAGGTCATTTAACTTCTCTAAGCTTGTTTCTTCTCCAAAACAGAGATAATAATAATACTTAATTCATCAGTTGTTCTGAGAATTAAGTAACATAGTCCATAAAGTCCTCAGTCCAGTGACTGGTGATACACATTAAGTACCTTAATAAATTCAGCTATTATTACTACCACTATAAAGCACTTTCACAGCCATTTTCTTACAGTCCCCACAACAATCCTATGACATGTTACAGATAAGGAAACTGAGGCTCAGAGAGCCACAATGAGTGGCTCAGTTTATGATGCCAAATCAAATCCTCTGCTCCAGGTGTCCCATCCTCACTACTTACTCATTCTGTCATCTAAGGCAAGTGCTATGCTACGTCTCCATTCCCTCACAGTAAAAAAGAGACATAAATCAAGCTCTACAAATTCCCTCACAGAAATGGATTAGAAATTAAATCAGATAATGGTTATGGAAGCGTATATAAGCCATAAACATATAAAACTGAAGTGGTGACTTTTGAGAACTAGTACACCTATACTTAAACCTGGCCTTCCTTTAATACTAACCATAAGGCACAGAAAGCGGTGGAGTCTATAAAACTTCCTTGGGATTTCCAATTACTCAGGATTCCTGACCTTAAGGCCTGAATAAGTAGTTTCCTGCCCTTTTAAGAAGTGGCAAGGTATGGGAGAAATAAAAATATTACTGGATTAGAAGGAAGAAGACTGGGAATTCTAGTTCTCACTCTGACACTAAGGCAGTCTGAATTCAGACCACTACTTCCCCTTTCCAACGTTCAGTTAACAGGGAAGCAGAGAAAGGCAGATATGAAAAAGTTGGATCAGATGGTCTGTAAAACCCCTTTCAGCTCCTACATAGGACTTCTAAATCCAGAATCCTGGCCAAGACCTACAAGACTCCAAAGGACTAATGCAAACATCAAGAGACTCCTCAAGACCTGGCCCAGAAACTCTCCTGCCTGATTTTTAGACACTCCCTCAAACCGGATCAAACACATTGGAAAACTGGAACACTTGCCAAAGTTAATTTTAGTTCACTTTAACCACTCTGGGCCTTATCTGAAAATAGGAGAAATATTTGCCTGAAAGCAGATGACTTGAGCTATTCCCCCAGCCTCCATCAAACTAGGATCGATAAACCTAAACAAAGAGAACCTGCAAGGTCTGAGAGGAGGACCATGCCACACACAAAATAAAGCATGAATCCCACCGTTTAAAGTCTCAAGGCTTCCTTGAGACAAAACCCCAGGGAATTTCAGTTGTGTCTGAGATCTGGGGTCACTGCATCCATTAACTTCTAACTGCCGCAATACTAGCAAGGAATTCATCCAAACCTTTCCCCTTGGAGATATGGTAATCCCAGAATGAGATTTCATCCATAGTATAGTGGACAACCGCCCAGAAGTCAGGGAAAACCTAGAGCTATGTCCCTAATTAAACGGTGTGACCCAAGGCTCGGTTAAAATGCCCTCTGCACTAAGAGATGATGCTCACCCTACGAAATTTAATAAATAACGGGTGCTAGCACTGCTCCTTTACACTTCTGTGGCTACTGTGACTTGGAGAAAATTACTTGACCCCTCTGCGCCTTGATTTCTGCTTCTGTAAATAGGGATAAACTAGAAGGCCGTTGTGAGCATTAAAAGAAACAATGTTCCTGGGAGAAGGCTCATTAAATGTTGGCTGTTGGTGTTAAACACTTTTCACATATTAGTTTCCTCCCTGAACCCACTGACACCCCGCGAGGCGAGTTTCCCTCTTTCCTCCCATGTCACCGAGTGGCAAACTAAGGCTCAGCCACCAAAGGGACTGAGTGAAATGCGGATACGGCCCCAGCTCGAGGGACCGTTGTTGTTTCTCTCCGAGCCCAAGGTGTGCAAAGAGCCCAGAAGAGGCAGGAGCCGAAGCAGGACCAGCTCTGCTCGCCTCCGGGAGCCCGTAGACCCAGCCCGGGTAGGAGAGCCGGAAGCAGCCGGGGCCGGGCCCGCCCGAGGCCTCCCAGGAGCAGCCTCCGTTCCCCTCCCTCCGCCCCTCGCCGGGCGGGGCGGGGCGCGAGCACAAAAGACTCCAACTTCCGAGCGGGCGCGGGCCCACCCAGCCAACTACCCGCCCAGGCTCAGCCCACGGGGAGGGAACAGGCAGGGAACGCCAGGGCGGCCCGGAGCGGGCGCGGGAGCGGAGGCTGGGGGCTGGGGCTGGCGACCCGGGGCGGCGGGTCCGGGTGGGAGAAAAGAGCGGCGGAGGGGGCCTGGAGTTACTCGGGCTCCCAGGACTCCCCGAAGGGTAGAAATAAGAGTTTCTAAAAATAGCCAGCGGCCCGCCAGAAGTGGGTGAACGGAAAGGAACAAAGCACACACCCTTCCCGCACCCCTAAGGAGACACCCGCAGCCCCCACTCACCCGCGCCCAGAGGTCTGGAGAAAGCCGCGCGGCTGGGAAGGAGGCGGTGCCGCTGCACTCGGGGACGTACGGGAGGGAGGAAAAGGGCGGCTGCGGCGGGAGGAGGCTGGGCACTCGCGCGGGAGTCGTAGTTGCCGTCGCCGCCGCCGCCGCTACCGCCCCCTCAGCTTCTTCGGGCTCCGCTAGCCCGCGCCCGCGCCCGCGCCGCTCGCGCGCTCCACCGCACTGACAGCGACGCGAGCCCCGCAACCGCGAGCCCTGCCTTCGGCCAGCACCACTGACGCCCGCGGGGGTGGGGGCACCCGGAGCGGCTCCCTCAGCTCGGGCTCGCCCGCCACTCTGTCCCTGGTCCAGGGCTCTCCCACGTCTCTGTCTCCAGGGAAGGACACGATGACACGAGCAAGAGGAGTCCGCAGCGTCACCCAGAAACAGCCCGGCTCCCCAGGCGCAAGGGTTCTCCCCACCCTCCTAGCCAGGCTTTGGAAAGGTCCAGAGCTTCGGCGGGGACAGGAGAAAGGCGGGTCCAAGGCAGGGCCTGAAAGGGAGGAGGGACTGAGACGCGGCTCGGGGGGCGGGGCTGGGGCGGGAAGAGAGAATCGCCTGAACAGGTTTGGAGCCAAAGTGGGGGCGGAGCTAAGAGAGTGGTAAGGCCCTGGGAAGGAGCCGCGCAGGTAGGGAAGATGGTGCAGGCGACTGGGGCCTGGAGCCAGGAAAGTGCTTGGAGATACTGTGGGCCTGGCCAAAGGAGAACTGCCCAGAGGGCGGAGCCATGGGCGGAGGGAGGTGGAGCTGAAGAGGAGCCTATAGTGGGAAGAAGATAGAAGCGACCCTGAAGAGGCGGGCCCGGAAGCAGGGGGGGGAGGAGGGGCCCTAGGGGTGGCTACTCAGGGCGGGAGCCGGAAGGAGGCGTGCCTCAGGGAAGGACTGACCGATGGTGCTCGAGGTGGGCGGAGCCTGAGGATGGCGCTCAAACTAGCAGGCCGTGGTGGTTCCTGCTGGTTTGAACAAGGATCCGGAAGAGACGAGGCAGGAAGAAACTCCTGGTCCTTTCGCTTTCAAGGAACGTGGCACCAAGACGGGGTGAGTGAGGGACGCTCTTCGCTGCCTAAGCTGGGACTGGGCGGAGAGGCCGCGCTAAGGGTGGTCTCCGAAAAAGGTGCGGGAGATGTTTTATAACTTGATCCGGGTGCTAGTCCTTCCTCCTACACATTTCTCCTGTCAGGATCTCTTACTTGAATCAGTGTTCCACCCTCCAGTGAACAGCCAGAGTCTTCCTAATGAGACCGCAAGAGGACCGTTGCCCTTCATTCCTCAGCTATGGACTTCCCTGAAAGTTGAGAACTGACCATATTCTCGATGCCTCCTCTGACCTGTGATTTCGTGACTCACATCGCTTCCTCTGAACCTGTTTAAGAGACGGGATTCCTTAGAATGGGGCAGAGTTTGAATTTAGAGTCCTGGCTTTGCCATACCAGGAGTTATAATTGCCCTTCTGTTGTTTGATGACCTCCTTGTCCTGTTTTAAAAGGAAGATAAATCAAAGAGTTGACGACCTTGAGAGAATGGCTGGGACGTTCTTCCACAAACTCTGTTTTAATATCACCTCCTCAAAAGAGCTCTTCCCTGAACACCTTGTCTCAAGATGTTCTCTAGTTTGTCTTCTTGTTCTGTCATGTATTTGTCTGTTCATTGTTTATTTGTGTGTTTTTTGATACAGAGTCTCGCTCTGTTGCCTAGGCTGGAGTGCAGTGGTGTGATAATTGGCTCACTGCAACCTCTGCTTCCTGGGTTCAAAGCAATTCTCATGCCTCAGCCTCCCAAATAGCTGAGATTACAGGTGTGCACCACAATGCCTGGATGATTTTTGTATTTTTAGTGGAGACAGGGTTTCACCATGTTGGCCAGGCTGGTCTCTAACTCCTGACTCAGGGGATCCCGCCTTGGCCTCCTAAAGTGCTGAGTGAGATTACAAGTGTGAGCCACCCCACACCCTGCCATGTTTGTTTGGTTTTTGAGACAGGGTCTCATTCTGTTGCCCAGGCTGGAGTGCAGTGGCATGATCAAAACTCACTGCAGCCTCAACCTCCCAAACTCAAGCAATCCTCCCACCTCAGCCTCCCTAGTAACTGGGACTACTGGCATGTACTACCACTCTGGGCTACCTTTTTTTTAACTTTCACTATATTGTTCAAGCTGGTCTTGAACTCCTGAGCTCAAGTGATCCTCCTGCCTTGGCCTTACAGGTGTGAGTCTCCATGCCCGGCAGAAGGGAGATATTTCTAAGGAAATATGCTGACAATCTAGCTAACACTTAGTGAGAATTTACTAATTCGTATGCAGTCTGCTAAGTGTTTTTCAAGCATATTTAATTCTCACAACATCCCTATGAGGTAGGTACTGTTCTTACTCCGTTATACAGATGAGGAAACTGTGGCATAAAGAGGTTAACTTTCCCAAGGTCACACAGTTGGTAAATGATGGAGTCCTGCAGGCTGAATTACTATATTATCCTACCTCCTAATTATTAAGGACCTAGGGTTGTTGGTCCAATAAAGGTGAAGAATGAAGATGTGACATTCTTTTGCTTTCAGGATAGTGTGACATAGGATATGATACCTACCTAGGGTTGCAGCAGATTATTTATTTTTATTTTTAGCCACATGAGGGAGGCCAGTTAGAAGACAAAACGATCACATAGAGGGCAAGACAAAAAATATTATAGAATAAAATGAGCCAGAGACTTGATCCAGCCATTCCTGAAGTTTGACCCACCTCTCGACTTTAACATGAACATTTTTATAGTAATTTGAGTTGTGATTTTTTTTTTTTTTTTTTTGAGACGGAGTTTCGCCCTT